CAAATGTTGGCCCCAGACCTCCACATGTGTGCCCATGTGCCCACTAATAATATCAATGATAAAAAATAAATTTCATTTTTTTTCTGAAAAGAAAATGCAATTAGGTAACAATAAATAACGTGGGTTGCACTAATTCAATTTTGTTACCCTAGCCATAAAAGCTATCATCTCCTTCTCATGACCTCCTCCATATCCCTAAACCAATGCTAGCTCTACCAAACCAATGCAGTTTCAACCCAAGTGCAGGAATTCCTTTCCTATCAGGTTGCTAGGCTTAAGCAGGCCAGAGATACCTAGTGGAAGGTACTGATAGACTGTACTTAGCCAGAGTTATGAGGCAGGTAGAGCTCTTTCGACTTGACACCCTAGATAAAACGGAGCTGTGTGAGCTCCTCAACAAGAGGTTCCTCGATGAAGTGAGAAGTCACTCACAAAATCATTTCACTGTAAATGAGTCATCCCTGAGAAATAAGTCTAAACAATGAACCGCTAACAAAGAAGTGTTAATGGAAAACCAGAAGTTTTCTTACAACTCCATTCTGCCATAATTTAAGAGGTAAATCAGCTCACATGAAAGATGTCACTGGTACTAAAACTCCGCTCACTTATCAAATTATGATTCATGAGAACAGAGCGCATTTTTTAGGACTATTCACTTGTTGTGTATGTCAATGTCACTTCCAGTTTTGGGAAAATTAATATTAATCCCTTGTCACTGAAAAAAAATGTAATTGAGTTTACCAAGCTAATTTCTCAAAGGCCACCTGATAGCCTCCAGATGGAAACCCACGATTCTGTCAAATCAGAAATTTAAGCCAAGTGTGGCCTTGAAGTCGCTACATTGCCAACTGTTTGCCCCACAGGTTCCTTTGAAATCACAAAATATAAAAGTTCCCTATTACTTAATAAATTACATTTGGCTCTGATGAAATACGCTCTATCCAAAAGGGTTACTTTAACTATTTTCTTTTTAATAGAAACTGCACAATGTTGAGTGATCACTAACAGACCTGGTAAGGTCCTTGAATGAATGCCTACAGAGAGTTCAGGCACACATTAGTAAATTTTCTCAAGAAAAATCCATTTCCATTTCAAGGTCTGACATTTTATTTGGAAAAATTATGCTCTTTCTTTTAATTATTCCGGTAAACATAATGAGGGTGTCACTAAGTACACCTCAGAGGACTTTATTTCCTCCAATTTTTAGTCACACGAGTGTACTTGTAATTAAAGGCATACCACATTAATGATGCTGAAAATCTCCACGGTAAACAGTTAATGTCCACCTCATAACGTTATGCCAAAATTACATGCGCAAAAGACTTTTTAATAATCTTTGTTTTCTCATTTGGTTTTGACTGGCTCTGAAACCCATGGCGGCATGCGAGGGCTCCTATTTCCACAGTCATCAGCACTTCTGCCCCATAAATTGTACAAAGGTACGTGGCTGCTTTCATCTCGAGGCTTCTTTTCAATGCCTCTGTTTAAGTTATACAGAGCATTGGCTACGAGCTGCAGATAATTGCAGATAATTTTTTTCCATTTTTAAGCCACCGGGGTGTTGCCCGGGGGACATGACAGCTATGTTTATTTAAACACAAAGACCAAGGCACAGCTCGGTGTTGTCGCTTCAGCTCTACACCCAGGATCAGATCATCAGATCTGCTCCTTATGCAAATTAAACCATTGTCACTGGATGACCTGTGTCTCCTGACAGAGGCATGCTACCTGCAGCTTGTATTATGGCTGAGAGGACAGTAGCCACACAAGTAGGTTGCCTCAGCTGCAAAAGCAAAGGCAGCCAGTCCGGTGCCTTGCACGTTTTTCTCCCAATAACAAAAACAGGCTCAATTTTAGGCACTGTCAATTTGAAAAAGGATGTACCAGACTAAAAAGAAAACAAGTAATTTTCCAAATAAATAATACACACACATACATACATATATGATATTCACACACATGATCTATATTCATATGCTCTATTATATTATTATAGACACATTTTTCCTAATAAACTATTGTTCAAGGTGTTTATATGATTAATATATAACCATTTTAAATTACTTGACATAGAAGATTTGACATAGATAGGACATCCAAGTTAGTAAGCAGAGATGTATTATTAAATGGAACCGTAAGCGGTTTTTCCCCCTCCTAATTCATTCCACATTAAAATAAATGCAACATTCATGGGTAGTCATGGGCGTATACCGACAGAGAGAATACAGAAGGCAGCACCATAGATTTTCAGTGCAATACCAATGAAGCTCCACTCATGTTAACAACATTAACTCTGGGCATTAGAGACTATTTCCATGACTGAATGTATTCTCTGTGTTCAGAATCCCTGGAGTCATTACTAATAGGAGTGCTCCTAGCTGAGGAGGCAAAGCCATCTTCCAGTAAACATTTACATATAGGGGCTAAGCAGTGCTGGTGTCTATTTGGCAGCTCCGGTGATGTAATAGGCCATAATGACTCTGGAGGAGCTGGAATAGAAATGAGTGTCAGGGAGCGTAGAACCCATAAGTCCTGGCATAAGTGACTTTCCGGATTCCCATTAGACTTTGGGCTAAGGAGCTCCTCGGCAGACCTGATATGACAGCATCCCGCGATGCTTTTACAGCCGGTGTCAAGAACTCTTACACGACGGCGTTTTAGAGAAAATCCACCGCTACAGAAAGGAAGTTTGGCTGTATTGGGGCCATTATCACCGACTTGGCATCTAATATGCATGCTAATAGTCCCAAAGTTCACATTTAAAGGAGATTATTAAATCGGCTATGCCAATCATATGCGCATTAAGGAATACAAATTAATGACTGATAGGTAACTCAGAAATCTTACCCTCTGCCCAGTGACATGTGAAAGTCTACCAGAGCATTGCACTACAGTGCAGCCTGGGTGGGGCTTCCTGAGAACACAGGTGTGTCACACAGTTACATGTAGGGCCAACCTAGGACTATTCCCTTGATTCTCTTTTCTCAAGGTACTTTACCATCATTTAGCCTATAACTTAATAGGAATTAACTTAATTAAGAACCTTAGACCATGCCCCTGTGAAAAGCTAGCCTGTAAAGTCCTGTAATGTGCCCTTTCCTGCTTCTTTTGGGAGAAACAGGGAGGCTGAAACAGGTATGGGATGCTTTACACATAGGGCAGGAGAGATGCTGAGCCAGTGTTCTCTGGCCAAAGATGAGTTCGGAGAAGCCGCACACACAAATCACACCTTGGAGGCAATCCTACAGCACCTGTGTGAGTAGAAACTGCACCCCAGCAAAGGACATGAAGTATTTCACGTCGATCTGTAAATTACTAAGCAATTCCAGAAGAGGCATATTGTTCAGCGTGTCACAGAGACCAATAGATAGGGCTGGAGCGCTCGTGATGAGAAAATCTGGCCCAGAACGCAGGCTCTGGAGCTTAGATAACCTATAACCAAACAGTAATTTCACACCACATTTGCAATGAAATTTTAAATTTGACCTTTCATAGGAAATTACTAAAGACTTCATATAAGGCCGACAAATGTCCCTGCTCTTTTACAGATTTATTGGAGTTTTACTGATACGTTTGAATAAACCTTACTGAAAGCCTGTGGTTTGCAAAGCGCACAACTTCTTTCGGAAGCACATACCTGTTACCCTGAGAGACGGGCTCTCTCTCTTTGAAATATTTCGTCATTTAGGGCACTTTAGTCATAGTGACACCTAATAGCCAAGATCTTTCTCTCACCCTCCACCAAATCAGGTTTAGACTATAATTCAAAGCAGTCCCCAAAGGCGCTCTGACAAATGGTAAGCCCTTAGCTTTTAGGTGAAAACACTCTTTATTGTTCAAAATTGTCCCCTGCTACAAAACCGTTCTACAGTGCCCCGCCTGAGACAATCTTATGTTAATTTGACTCACTGGGGATTGTGAGCAGATGCTGCTTTGATTAATAGTTTCGCTAGCCTGAAAATGCCAGGCCAAGTTCAAGATAATAAAGTCAGGTAAGATACTATTAAAACCTGCCACATGGTTATATCTGTTATGTGGATTAAAATGGGGTCACGGTTCTTACATCAAATAAAGACTGCCTACAATAAAAACCAACAACATAAACCAAATGGGCACACTGTCTCATTTCCTTACCACATTAACTGACAGCATATTAATCACCCATCTCTTTAATAACACCTTACAGGTATAGCTTCTGCTGTGATTTTAGTTGGAAATGCAACGTGTTCCTCCAATACTACCTTTCTCCTAATAGATGTTCCACTCGGAAAGGGCCTTAAATACACCCTAAGAATAATACACGTTATAGCTCCTTGTTTTATTGTCTAAACTTACAAGCCCCCAGGCCATTGCCTTCAGCAAATATGTTTGCAACATTTCAGTATCCACCTTCAAAATTCCCACAGAAATGCAGTCCTTGGTAGCAAGGATAGGCATGAGCTGGCAAATAAGGTCTCTGGAAAAGTCCTTCAAGAAAGTCTACCATCCTTCCTTCTTTTCACCTTGCTGGTCCCTTCGTGAAGAACCCCTATCAGAGATGCTGTCTGGTAAAGGAAACAGAAGATCTCAACTAATCTTGAACTAGGGAATTGGAGCCTGGCTTCATCTGTGTGTAAGACTAAACCTGTGCGTTCTTAATGCTGGCTTACCAATGGGTTTTCATCATGAACATTATCCAGCTGGCCTAACGTTCCAGTTTCTATTCTAAAATTTAACCATCAATTTGGCTTTTTGATTTGCAGTATAGCCACACTCCACCTGTGTCATTGAAACTTTTGGCTCCCTGGCAAGCAGGAAGTTCCCATACATCAATCACATCAGATACATTGCAACTCCAGATAGGACAAGCCTCCTCTGAGCATGACGCCAGCCTCTCAACATGTATCTGCCACCTGCAAACCTGGCTCTGCCAAACTGAGCCTTCACACTCGCCTCTTTTGCTTGCCCATGAGATTGAATGACTCTCATGTGAAATACTCTATGCAAAAGCACCGCCTCACCATTGCACAGAACGCCTCTGGAGGGTCTCCACAGGTAATATCCGGAGGGTCCAGCTTCACTTTCAGATACTTTGTCATGTCCGTGGATTCCGGCTGGCAGGCCATATAATCCCAAACTTTCCCTTCTTCTGTGTAAATCTGAGTTTTACATACATCATAATGTCCCCACACTAAAGGGTAGGGCTGCATCACAGAGGACACTGTAACCCACAGGGCATGGATCGACAGGAATCTTGACAAATACATCTCTAAAATCTTGGCAATCTTCGTGTCTTATTTGCAGTTAGTGTCTCCTTTACATACACATGAGTATATTGTATGTGTGTATGTGTGCTTGTGTGTGTGTCTTTATATAGGTAGGTCTGTATATATTTTTTTTTAAAAAAAATACGCTGAGGTCTCAAAGCAGATTCCAAAACCAAACGTGAGAGACTGAAATACTGAGTGTGGTTGGGCACGTTGAGGACTTTGGTGGAAGCCTAATGTGCATCTGTGTTAGGCATTAACAGCTTGCAGCCTTTTCTCCTTGTAGAACATATCTATTAGACGTCTGTGAAAGATGTCCAGGTGCAGATAATCATTTAGCAAAGTGATGACTCTCCCATTGTACATCGGATAATCCTGAGTGATCCTTGGGATTCAGGGCTCACAGGGGCTGCTCAGAGGCGATGAGGGATCAGTATCTGAAGCACAAGGATGAGTGTCTACGACTCTGTGTCTGCTTCCCAGCAATCATTTTCTTTTTTCTTCTGACACAAACATCTCTATGAAAACAATAAGAGTAAGAGTTATTGCCCTGGAATCAATGCATTAGGAAATATATGGTACATTGATATTTTGGAGGCATGGTGTGATATAAAGCAAATTGGTGTAATATGGAAAAGCTTCAGTTAGATGCCTTAATAGGATGATCAGGGTACCCATCCATATTGGAGAGGATTTTATTATGAAAGATCTGACTCTTCCATAAGGAAGGTAGATGAACATGCTCTAGGAGAGTTAACAGGTTTTTGCTTCAAAAATTTTATTTCCTTCTAAACAACTGAGAGCAAGCTTGTGGATTTAAACAGCTCTCATAGCTGGCTAAAAGATTTTCCAAGAGAACAATGGGGACAAAGAGGGCCTTTATAGCAATGACAACTACTTGTGTGCTTTTTGTCTTTTAGCAAAGAGACCCTAAAATTCTCCAAATTCCTTGTACATTTCTTAGCTTTTGTTAGGGGCAGGTGAGTGAAAACAGGTCTTGTTGGCACACAGCTTATCTCTGGATTTGCCCATTATACTGGACAAATTTAACATCTTTTGTTTAGTTGCATTTACTGAAAAAGATAATTAGGTTCTCTGAAAATAGTCAAAAAATTAAACCAAAGGGGGCAAATATTCCTTTCATAAGAATCTTCTATTTCCCTGCATCTTTTTCTAGCCATCCCATCTGCAATTGTGACTATTCTCTGTAACGGGAGAGAATCTGTCCCAAAGGTGAATATTAGGCAGGGCTTTAAAAGCGAAAGCCCCATAGTAAAACACACAGTTTAAAATGCACATATGAAAATAGCTGAGGGCGAGCTAATAGGCCATGAAGCAGAATAAAAGGGCACTAATTCTAAAAGAAAATAAAAATCTCCATCTCAATGCACTTTGGGTAAACTGATAATGCAGATGGTATAACTTACAGAGGCGAGTCACTGATGAGGTCCACTAGGAACTTTTCAGCTCTTCAGATCTTAACAAATGGTAACATTTGAAACCCAGGTGTGAAAGTTTACTTTCTTAGCTATTTGGTTCATATTCCTAGTTCAAATTATTAACTACTTTTCAGTTTAAAAAATAAAAAAACCTATAGCTTTGGAAAATTCCATTATAGACTCTTCAATTCATATTAAACAGTTTAAATAAGGAAGTTCACTATCTTCACACAATTTTATAAAGGGAATACACTATATTTAAATAATGCACCATCTTAAAATGAACTAAGCCACAGAGACTATGAAATGCCAACAGATGGTTGGATTGTGTTTCCATAGCAAAGTAATTTATAATAATTGCTTTATGGATGCAAGTGCAATTTTCATTATATTCAATTCATAAAATGTTATCATACAGCTGCAATTTGTGATATTTTCTATTAGGAAACGTGGTGAGTATTTGAGTTTCCATGAAGGAATAATTAGCAATGTGTCTAAATATGTGCAAACTACGGATTTAAATCTGCTGCTTTGTGACTTTGACACTGTTCTGTGGCATGCACTTGGAAATCTTAAGCTAAAATGAAAAGAAAAGAAAAGAAAAGAAAAGAAAAGAAAAGAAAAGAAAAGAAGAGAAAAGAAAAGAAAAACATTACTGGAGCATGTGTTGTGGTTACTCAAGCTTTTCTGCTTTTTTGTGTGTGTGTTTGTTTTTAGATTCATTAAGTTGGTGTTTTCTGAAACAGCCAACACATTGACGATTAATAAGCTGAAAAGGTGGTAAGAAGAAGGAAATGTACATTTCCTAGACTCAGCTTTCAATTATATTTGCTACATGTACTCTACAGGAAGAAGACACTTTGAGAAGTGAAGAAAAGGAGCATTAGAGGTAGTATACAATCTTCTAGTTCCAAAATTCTTAATATCACTTTTTAAGTTTTAAAATCCAGCAATCTGTAAGTTAGGAACAATACAATCTTAAGTTAGGAACAATACAATCTTAAAGACTTGGACCCCATGGCTTTGAGCTTGAACTGAGTGAAGATTTGGTTAATTTGTAACATTATTTTTTAAAGACCATTTCAAGTATACAGGCTTAAATGATGCTGGAGAGTACTCTTCACCCGTCTTAACCAATACTGTTCCCTCAACCACCTAGTCTTTGTGACTCTGTCCTCACACCTATTTTACCTCAGTGACGTCATCTGGTATATTTCGACGTGAAACTCTGGGCACTAAGGAAATGCATGTACCTGCTACAACGTCCTGATGACAGCCCCGCCAACGCAGCGGACTCTCATTAAAGTCTACCAGAACGGTAACGATGGTCATTACCCAGAATTACGGACTACATCATTGATCGGAGCTGGAGAATTGACAGGGGAAAATGCAGAGGGGTGCAAAGGTATTTGAATATGAGGCAGTCGCAGGACTGTGGGACAGACGTTCTTGACAGGAAGCAGCCAATTACAGCTTAAATTTCTGGCACCTAACCAGTTGTGATTAATAGTTTTCCATTCCATTACAGACATATTATTAATGTATTAAAAATGTCAAGCCTTGGCAAGCACTAATATGGTGTAGCTCAGTTGGTCTGCAGAATTTACATTTAATGAGCTCCCATTGACATGGAAAACGGTATTGACCACAGTATAATGTAAATCAGAGTACAGCCACGAGCTATTCTTTAACGTAATTCTATTTTCCCTTCTAACTTTAAAGTCTGTAGCGCCCCTTCTTTTGCACCCCTCATATCAAAATCTCCTTACCCCCCACTACCATACAAGCTATCAAATAAATCCTTCTGCTTCATATTAGAAGAATTTAAATCTATAAACTTTAGTGACAAAGAGGCCTTAGGAGAATCAGAGATTTGTGGTAAAAGTAAAATTGTGGTATTTTCAAAGAAAATAAATATTGTGCAAAGAGAGTATTATTTACACCACCACCTCCAACACTTAATGCTGCTGATTTCCAGCTGGCTCTCCTCTAGACCAGGTTAAAAATATCAATGTTGTCTTCTTAAAAGCTAGGTCATGGCTGCAAATGGCTAGACAAATTCATTAGGGGATGGGCAGCCAATGGCAGACATATCTGGGGACTAAGTGTCCCAAATGGATCCCTTCCTGAATGCCACCAGATACTGTGAATTTGTCTCAAGGGTCTGGATATGGGCAACTTCAGAAGATCCCTGGGCAGCTCCAGCTCTAAATCTGCACTTTCCCCACCTGGGAACTCAGAACAACCAAGGACTGGCACCGTCTCTACCTATGAGCTGAAGTAGTAAGAAATCCTTTGTGTTTAAATTTTTCCCCATTAATATATTACAAGTCCATGGATCTCTGGCATATGGTTTTGCAGAGCCAATGAAAAACTCCACAAAATTACATGGCTTTCAGGTTGATAGGTATTATTGATCAGGACTAAAATAGGCTACAAAATGGCTTTGCATCCATGAAACATACATTTTTCCAAGATTCAACAGCTAAGTCCTTCCTGCCTTGGATTAGTTATGCATAAGATTTTAAAAAAAAACCCTTCAATTATCAGAAAAAAATGGCTCCAAAGTGTTATGCAAACTAATAATGATTAAAATAATAAGCCATTATAGTTTCAAAGAATTACCGATGTCATTAACTGAGAGAAAAATATTGTCAGTCAATCTACCAACTCTCGCTGGATTTTAGCATTCTTTTCATTATATAACCCCACTAGGAAGTGGGGGTGTGGTAATAGGCTAAATATTCCATAAACGCGTAGCTCATTGGGACACCTGAAATAGACAGCTATTGACTCATTCTGTGCAGACATTAAGACTTTTATAAAGCTACAAGTTTCTGAATGGATATAAACAGAAGGAAAATTACAGATAATCACATTTCATTGACTGGAGCAAATAAAGGGGAAACAATATACAAACCATCAAGATTGGCAGCTGTGAACACAACCACAGTGAGACCAAACATTCGCACACATTTCATGTGCTTTGCACATGTCCATTGGTTGTGAAAAGGGAATCTTTTGGTTTCTTCATGAGGAACAGAGGCTCCTGTCTTTTTGTTGACTATCTCAAAAACGGAAGGACTCTTACATGTGATGCAACAATTCCAACATGCTTTGCACATAAGTGACTGAGTATTCTACAGAACAATCATGGGAATCTTAATAAAGCCAATTGGCCCACATTGGTATTTTAAATATTTCTATTTTTATCAAAAAATAAAAAAAATGATGGACGTCAGTACATATTTCCCAGGATGTTTGTGGAGGGGTCATGCGTAAAACTACTTCAAAATCAAGTAAGCCTAAACAAAACCTGGCATTCAACGGTCAGATGAACGAAAAGCCTTCCTTCTAATATAGGGAAGTTAAGAAATACAAGCTTCCAGCTTCCACAGACGCAGCTGAAAAATTCTACACCCACTTGAAGTTTGAAACAGAGCTCCAGATTCTAAAATTAAAATTACTTTCTGAAAGTATGTTGAATCACTTACTTCCCCATAACACAACATAATCCACGCACACACACACACACACACACACACACACACACACACGTGTACACATTTAAATACTAACATATACTCGTTTTTCTAAGGTGTATGAAATTTTATTGCCTTCCTAGTGACTTGGTACTTTGGTTACTCACAAACTCTCTTCAAATCTTTATTTACAATACCTACCAGCTAAATGCACAGTGGTGTAATTGTTTAATGGTACCGTCTGATGTTTTGCAGAAAACCGACAGGAGCAAAGACATGCATTTGCTATCCCTGGTAAATACGTGAAAGAAACTTCAACATGCATTAGCTGTCTCCTAAAATACAAAGTTAACCAGAACCTCTTGAACTCACATGACCAACTGTCAAAACTCTAAATAGGAACACAATTGCATGCACAAATAAAAATAGTTTTTTTTTTTAAAATAAGTATGGAGATTCCTCTTAAATACAACCACAGGGACTGCCAACAAATGAAAAGCCAAATACATGAAACATTGGATGTCTTCATGTTGGTACTCAGTGGCGAAAGTACCACACTGCATGTCATGGCACC